TTTCACCTCCTAGACTCAGGGATACAACGTTTTCCCTCTCCAGTGGGGTGGGAGATATTTCCAACATGAGGGAGAGTAGGTTTGTTAGTTTCCTCCTCAGAGAAGCAAGCAACTTGTGAATGGGCTGCTGACAGCCGGCACCAATTAATGCTTTTTCTCCTGCACTCGGAGGGCCCGCCAACCAGGGGGACACAGAAGAGCTCCTCTTGTCCCAGCTTTTCACTCCCAGGACATTTGCTCTGTACCAGCCTCAGGTGTGTGGGAATCACACCGACAGGCCACTATCCTCCCCACCAACCACTAAAAGGTCAGCACTTCTACTGACCTAGGCCTCCAGCACTTCGTGGTTCCACTGCCAAAGATCACAAGCTTACAGACACCGAATCTGGACACTCCCCTTCCTGGGCTGACTCTCTGTTGTTGCTTTCTAGATTAACCCAGCCTTCTGGCCTCTAGCCTGCTTCAAGCCCCAAAGCTGACACCACCCGGCAAACACGACTTCTAAATCTAGGCTGCTTCACTAAGGGTTTGAGCCCCCATACAGCGGATGATGAGGAAGCCTGGTGTGTCACTGCAGAAGCAAGGAGTTGGAAGGCAAACAAAAACATTTACTTGAACATACTGAAGGTGAACAGATGCTTTTCTCTTTCAACCAAAAAGTTCTCGATAAAAAAAAGAGGAAATGTTATAAATTACACAAAATGGCAGTACCAACTTCAAAGAAATGATAAATGATTCTAATAACTTCAAGTTTCTCATTAATGGCTCCACGTCCAGAGTTTGAAACATCCTAAAGGGATCACAACAAAATGGTGAAAAGTTGAGATGAACCCAATGCCCCCTTCTGAGATTTCTCCCCCACAAAAAAATCAGGGACCACCCACCCTTAACCCATGAATAATAGGGGCAGGATGCAGTTGCAGCTCCCAGCTGTGGTTTCATAATAAAACAAACTCAGCTGATGCTCCCAAAGTAACCTTCATTTTCCACTGAACTGACATGCACTACAGGGACCTCAATTTCTATATTAAATATTAAATAATATTAAAAGAAAAACAAAATTGGATTTGCCTTTTCAGGAAAGAGATGTTTATTAAAAAAAAAAAAAGTCCAGATTATAATTCAAGTCAGTGCTTCACTGTAATTCCCCGAAGTGACATTTGCTAGGAAAAGCCAAGACTCCTGAAGCTGCGAGCCCCCCCAAAGCCAGGGCTCCAAACCCACTCACTGCAATGACTCCTTTGGGGAGAGGCTGAGAGGGTGGCTACCAGTAGCCCCCGCAGTCAATGAGCCGCCCAGGTTCCCTCTCAGCAACTGCAAGGGGGCTAAGGGACTGACTGTGGGCTTGCTGCCCCGCTGTGCTGCACCAGACCCCCCCTTTCCATCCCCAGCCAGAGGCTGCCAAGCTATTCTGATCCTACAAGCCTGACCGAGGGAACCAGGGGGAATTGGAAACGGGAAGCTTAAATCCACAAAGGGGCCTTTTCTTCCCCAGGCACCCATCAAACCTTGCAATTCTCTATCCAGGGAGGTCCTGCCAGAACCCACCCTATGGGGATTCCACTCGGAAATGGCTGAGGACTGGCTCCAGCAGCATCTTGAGAGGATAATGGAGTTGGGTGATTTAAGAGACATTCCTGGTCCTGTCCATAGACAGTTTATGATTCTGCTTATAGACAGACAGATGCCCAGCTACCCCAAGTTTTTTTCCCCTTGGTTTTGGGCTTGAAAAAGAACATTCCTGCTAAAACATATTTCTCATCTACAAATTGAGAGGGCTGGTCTCGCTGATCACTACGGTCCCTTCAAGCTTCATCCCCCTATGGCTGGTTCTTGGCATTTCTCCTTGTTCTTTGGCTCACAAAGATGCCTTGGAGTTCAACAGTTTAAGTGGCTTAAGGTGGAAACTCTCTCTTCCTATGCAGAGGTGCCTGGTACATTGAGAGGTTGAAGGACTTACCCATGGCCTCACAGTCAATGCATGTCCAAGGCAGGGCTTGAACCTGCGTCCTCCTGATTCCAAGTCCTACAATCTACCCACACCAATGGCAATTAAGTCTGCTAAGTAAGTTGAGTAGTAGTAATGAAGAAAGGAGGAAGTCGTTGAGAATGGGAGTAACCCGAAGAGTTCTGGGACATAGCTGACTATCTAATGCAAGCCATAGCCGGTCATTACAAAGCCAAGACACTTAATGGTAAGGACAGACTCGCAAAGCAGTCACCTTGGGCAGGGGAGCTGGCCCTGGTGCTGAGGTTAGAAGATAGTAAGAATTGGGCAAAGCTGAGTGGAGGAAATGGGCACACTGGGTTCACCATTAAATGGCTGTGGACAAAGGCACATCTGTCATCACAGAGATGGCCAGAGGGCACTGGCTCACTCCAGCCAAGTTTCGTGGAGCTTTGTTCTCCTATGTTTCACATTCATAACGATTAGAAGAGAGGCAGGGAACACCATTACAAAGAATAAAAAAAAAGGGACAACAAATAACAGTTCCACCAAACAGTTTCTGCTCTTCAATAATTATTAGCCAAGTAACTCATAAGAGGTAGTATTTAGGCCTATGTGGATGTGGGTGTCTCTCTCTGTCTCTGTCTCTCTCTCCCTCTTCCTCTTTCCCTCTCCCAGTCACGGATTTATTAAAATTAAACAGATTAGATGAAGCTCTTGATACTAAAACTGCTCGGCAAGGCCTGCGGTGGGAAGTGCCGAGCAAACACCAGAGACATTTGTCTCCAAATTGCTCTAAATACCTTCTGCAAATGAAATTCTAACCCAGCTGCGTTTGAGAGAAAATGAGGAATAACTGGTCACTGTCAGTGGAAGAGCAGCTCAGGCAGTTATAATATTGCACAATATACTGGGGCTAAGGATCTCTCAGCAACAATAGATTTTGTATCAGGTTACCGTGGGTAATCAGCACGGCTTTTAGGCTCAGCTTTCCCCTGCTTCATTGCTTTGATGATAGAGCTGAAATCCCCAAGCTTTTATGATTAATTACTCCCCATAGGTCCACAGATTTCAAGGAAAAACTCTTCTATGGCACGATGCTCACACAGTGGAGTGTTCGGCCAACAAGCTCCAGATTTTCATAATCTCCTAAATGTGCAGAGTGCCCACGACACAATCGGCATATGGATGCCACCCCTCAGGCCTCAGCCACTCCAGAGGGGCCAGAAAGGCAACATGGCAGCCTCCTTCCTAGCTGCTGCCCCAATGATGCCAGTTCCTGAACACACCACTGGGCCCTCTTCTTTCAGGGGATTCCTGATGGGATGCTGGCCTAAGACAGGCTCAGAATTTCACTTGTGCCAAGAAAAGAAGCATTCTTTCACGTGGGCATCACAAAATACTGCCTAGCATACAGCACCAAACAATTTCACCTCTTCAAGCCATTCCAATGGAGTTTTTTTGGGTAGATTGCTATTCTAGATACTAAAGAGGAAATATATATTTTTTTTGAGTAAGGGAAAAAAGTTGGGGGAGCTTGCCCCAAAACTAATTTTTTAAGCTGTATCAAAATCTATCATCAAATGGTCAAAGGGTAGAAACAGGCAGTTTTCAAAGAAAGAAATGCAAATTATCAGCAATCATATGAAAAAATGCTCCAAATCACTAATAATTAAAGAAAACACAAATTAAAGCAACTCGTGAGTTTTCATCTTATACCTGTCAGACTGGCAAAGTTAACAAAAAAAGAGAAATGACAAATGTCAGTGGAGCTTTGGGAAAACAGGACCATTAATGCACTGTTAGTGGAGCTGGGCCCGTCATTCTGGAAAGCAATTTGGAACTATGCCCCAAAAGTCACTAAACTGTGCATATACCCTTTAGCCCCATGATAACACTACTGGGTCTAAAGATCAAAGAAAGAGAAAGAGGATCCATGGGTACAAAAATATTTATAGCATCTCTTTTTGCAGAGGCAAAAAACCTGGAAACTAAAAGGCATAGTCATCAATTGGAAAATGGTCAAACAAATTATGCTATGTGAATGTAATAAAATATTATTATGCTGTGAGAAATGACAAAAGGAATGGATTCAAAGAAATCTGGGAAAACACATATGAATTAATACACAGTGAAGTGAGAAGAACCAGAGGACAACTCATACAATGTCACCAGCTCTATAAAGATAAGTTTGGAAGACTTAAGAACTCTGATTGCTGCTGTGACCAAACACAGGTAGAGAGGACCAGTGATGAAGCATGCAACCCACCTCCTGACTAGAGAGGACGGACTCAGTGTAGAGAATGAGACATACATTTCTAATGTGGTCATGGTGGGAATATGTTTTACTTGACTATTCATATTTATTATAAGACTTTTGTCTTTCTTTTTTTCCAATGGGGGGGGAGTGGGCCAATGGGAGGGAGTCAACTGAGAGAAAAAAGTCCCATTCTCCCACCTCCCCTCCCAAAAGATCTATCTTCCTTTGTAAGTTACTGATTCCCAACTTGGAGACTTGGCAGGAAAAGGCCAATTTGTTTGGTGTCCCCAGCACAGCCACCAAATTCTGCTTCAGGCAGTACTGAATTTGTTGAGATTCATTCTACTCCAGTCTACAGAAATACTAGAGCACCAGCAATTTACCATTTCAGCCTGTAAATCAGACTGACCCCAAGCCTGACCTTAACCTGACCTTGCCGAGCCCCTCAGTCTTTGCATCTCTCCGGCTCTGCTCTTTTCTGAAGCAGGTGACCTCCTCACCCACAGCTGGCCTTCCTGAGGCCAGGGGGATTCATAGAATGCCTTTGTTTTTTCTTTTTGTTTTTTTTTTGCCCCCATGCATTCTGTGGAATAGTGCTCACTGGATGATCTTTCTGTTCCACAGAAAGGAAAAAAAAACCCATATTCCCAACCTGATAGGAAATCAGATGAGTGCAGAGACTATCCTTTGAGCGCACAGGATGCCTGTTATTAAAAGCATGCCTCCTCCCCAAACCTGCCCCCATGTCCTTTTTTTGGTAGACAATTCAGAGCAATGAAAGTAATTATGTACCTTTCTTCTTAAGAAATGCCCTCCTGGTTGAAAGTGGGCTTTGGCGGACCCGGGAGTTCTGTAGAAATTTGACTGCAGTGGCAATCTGGATGGGAAGAGAAAACAGAAGAGAAGAAAATGTCAGGAGTCTGAAGCTGAAGATTGAAAAGCCAAATGGTTCAATCCAGGTCTGTGGAAACAAAGCCTATGTGTCAGTCAAATTTAAGAGCATAATGGTTATTTGTCAAACATCAAAACAAAAATTTATCTTAAAAAATATGATGTCATTTCTCAGCTCAACAGCCTCCAATAGGCCTTTCCCCAAAATGTCAACATGAAATTCTCTTGACTTTCAGCCCCTCCATGATCTATCCCTAAACTACTTATTGAACTTTATTCCTGTAGAACATCATCTCCCAAGGCAAAGTGGCTAGCCCATAGTAGATACTTTAAAAATGCTTGTTGAATTAAACAAACTTTCCCAATGGGCCCAAGACACTCCTCCCACTCCCCAGGTCAGGCCTGTCTCCTCAGTGACCCATAAAGCACCAGACTCACTCCGACCACTGTATGCCTGGCCCATCTATTTTGCCCCCACTTCTCTAAATTCTACTCATTCTTAAAGTCTCACCTCCAGTTACAGAAGCACATGGTTGGAAGTCACATCCTACACTGCATTGCTACTCCAATGTTTCATGTGGGAATTTCTTGTTCCCTCCAACTAGACCACCAGCCTCTCAAGGCAGAGGAAAGAATGCCCTATTTTATTCTCCTCTGCTATCCCTACAATACACATGCAATAAATACTAACTGAATTCAATTTCCCAAACACTTATTCAGCATCTACTCTGTGTTAAGGCCCTGTCCTAGAAGCTAAGGAGACAAAGCAAAAAGGAACAAACTTCAGAACCACTAAGCTGCTTGTAGAGATCATCTAGTCTAGTGGTTCTCAAACTTTCTGGGCTCAGGATCCCTTTATATTCTTAAAAACTGTTGAGGACCCCTCAACCAGCTTTGTTTATGTGAGTTATTTCTATCAATATTTGTTGCATTAGAAATGCAAACATCTTGGTATTATTGTGAAAACAGTTTGACATCATGGACTCCCAGGGTGCCCAGACCACACAGGGAGAACCAGATCTGGTCCAGCCCCCTCATTTTACAAACGATCAAAATGGAGACACAGACAAAAGGGAAGGGATTTGTAGATGCTCGCTGATGTTTGGGTGAGCCCCCCCACACACACACACTGTCTGCCCCCTTTTTCTTTTCTCTCCCACTGCACACAGTTAAGTGTTTGTGTTTCACCTAATCTTTCCAATTACTGCTGGAGTAGTTTGTTAGCTCCTGGAGGACAGGCCAGCTCTTACACATCTTCTGTATCCAATTCCCAACCATGATCAACAATGTTCACCGAAAACTCAAGAGGCTGATCTGGTATTTCCTGGAAAGCTAAAAATCCTGAAGTGTCCCCACTAAACCACCATCCTGAAAGCAGACCTTCACTGCTCTCTGTGGCTCTAAGAGCGGCCAGAGCACTGAAGAGTTCAGGAGTCTGAATGCTGGGAGTCTGGGGCTACAGCACAGTGTTCTACACATAGCAAAGATTAAATGAGGAGTGAATGAGCAAATGAAGGAACGGCTAACAAAAGATCTCACCGCCCACATCACCAACTGAACAACATTTGACACAATCTGTGTCTTCTTGCTCACAAGCCATCTAGGGAATGGCAAGAAAGCTGATGAAGATCTTAGCCTCCACCTCACTCAACACATCAACAACACATATCAACACCGGGGCTCCAGGCAAGAAGCAGGGAAACCCCACTGCATATGACCACGGGGATGACGCCTCAGCAAACCAGGAGAAGAATCTAATCTACGGTTCCAGGTGAGGACACCCATCCTCTACTCATTGATTCACGCTACTCATTCATTGGCTGCTCAAAGATAACTGTTCAATGGATGGAATGTAAGAAAGTCGGTGCTTATTTTCACAACAGGAAAACTGTGATAGCTGGCAGTGGCAGCGGCAGTGCTCATCTCTTTTTCCTCATCCTTCCCGACAGACATTTTTGAAGAGTCCCAAGTAATCCAGAAAAGGCAAGTGATTAGGGGAAATGGCTACTCCACTATGGGTAAGGCTTAAGATTAACCAAGACATACCCTTTCGAAGATAGATAAACTCTGGGCCTCTCCATTTTGGCCAAACCTTGGTCCCTCCCCAACAACACATATTGATATCACTTGACATGCCATTTCTCAGGATCCAGGCTCAGCTCCAAGGAGTTGGTAGCTAACTGCCTGGGGCCATAAGCTTTTTCCAGAAAGCCACTATCATCATAATAATAATAAAAGCTAATAGCTCACGCTTACAGAGAGCTTAAAGGTTTGCAAAGTGCTTTAAATCTATTATCTCATTGGATCCTCACAATAACCCAGTGAAGTAGATGCCACTATTATCCCCAATCAACAGATGAGGAAATGAAGGCTCAGAGAGGTAAATACTAAGAGGGTCTTAAGGGTCACATATAGGGATGGAGATAGTTGAAGTAGCAGCGATATAGCAGAAACAGCATTAGATGGACAGTCTGGGGACTGAGGTTTGAATGTCTGCTCTGACACTTACCACTTGGATGACCTTAGTTGAGCAATCATTCACTCACTCAATCAACATTTATTAAGTGACTGCTATATGCCAAGCACTATGCTAAGCACTGGGGATACAAAAAGAGGTAAAAGACAGCATCAGCCTTGGAGGAGCTTACAATCTAATGCAGGAGACAACATGCAAACAAAGCAAGCTATGGACAGGATAAAAAGGAAATAATTAATATTTGAGGAGAAAACTAGGTAGGCTGCATGGACAGAGGGCAGGGCCTGGAGTCAGGAAGACTTGAGTTCAAATCCTGCTTCAGACACTTACTAGCTATATGATTCTGGTCAAGTCACTTACCCTCTGTTTGCCTCAGTTTCCTCACCTGTAAAATGGGGATAACAGCAACTACCTTCCAGGGTTGTTGTGAGGATCAAATGAGATGATGTTTGTAAAGCACTTGGCACTATATAAATGCTAGCTAACCAGCTAGTAGTAGTAGCAGTACTAGCAGCAGCAGCAGCAGCAGTGAGAGAGTTGAGGAAAGCTTCCATTAAAACGGGATTTTAGGTGAGATTTAACAGAAGCCAGGGAGGGAAGAGGAGGGAATGTTCCAGGCACGGGGGGGGGGGGGGGGGGGGGCAGCCAGAGATAATGCCTGGAGTAGAGAGACAAAGGGTCTTGTTCGTGGAACAGCCAGAACAACAGAATCACTTCACTCTCCAAATTTAAGTTTCTTCATCTGCAAAATGAGAAGTCGGACTTACTAAATGAACTCTACTGTCCCTTTCAGTTCTATATCCCATGATCTCTATGATCCCCCCAGCCTTGTTTTACTGCCTTCCACACAACTCACCCTTCTCCTCCCTAACCTCCACTTCCTCTCAGCAGAAGATCTGGCCTCCTAGCTCGTTTAAAATCGGCCCTCTGTGTGATGAGCTCCAAATCCCTCTCAAATGAGTTCCCTCCCATGCCATGAATTCAATTATCCCCTCTACGCAGATGACTCACAGATCTAGATCTCCATCAGTCAGAGTCTCTGTGGGGCCCCAGGTGTCGTCATCGTCATCGTTGTCATCATCACCATCACCACCACCACCACCACCACCACCACCACCACCACCACCATCACCATTTTACAATTCATTCAAAGATTACTTTGTGCCAATCAATGTGCTGAGCACTCAGGATCAACAACTACTTGCTGGATGTCTTCCCCAGGAGATTTTGTAAGCACCTCAAATCTGAAATCCAAAACAGACTTCTTCATCTTACCCATGATATCCGTCCCTCCTCCAAGCTTCCCTATTTCAGATGAGAGCACCACCATCCTTCCAGTTAGCCAAGTCCATGGGCCCAGGGTCATCCTCGACTTCTCCCCTTCCATCACCCCTCTCCTCTACAGTCATTCAGTTGCATGTCCTATGAATTCTACCTCCAGAATATCTCCAGAATTGTTCCTCCTCTTGCTACCACCTTCCCTCCAGCCTTTGTCACCTCTAGCCTAGACTAAGGCCATAACTTCCTCCAGGGTCTCTCCTCTCTCCAATCTGTCTCTCTACTTTGAGACGCTGTCAAATCTCCCTAAGATAAACAGGTCTGATCATGTTGCTGTCCTTCTCAAGAAGCTTTACTAGCTCCCAGCCACCTCTAGGATAAAACACCATTTCCTTACTTTGGCACGTAGAGACCTTTGCCATCTTGTACATTTCTGCCCTTCAGGCACTCTACATTCCAAACTGACTTCTTGGTCTCACACCCTCGGGACTCTGCATGAGCTGTTACACCATGTGAGTAAAGCACACTCTCCTCTCACCTCTGCCCCTTAGACTCTCTAGCTTCCCACAAGGCTCTAATTAGGTACTACCTCTACATAAAGCAGGCAGGGTCACCTAGGTAGTTTCTAGAACCACAATCGGAAATCTCCATCTTCAGACTCCATTTACACCATGGCTACCTCATTTGAAGTTTCAATCATCACCATCTGGACCAGACTAGAGTCAAACCAATGACAGAGCAAAATTAAGACACCATGCAGAGTATACGAACCATTCCTCTCTGGCTGAACCAAATCGTGACTCTCCCCTATCCTCAGCCCCCCTCAGATACTTATGCACATACACAAAACACCAGCTGATCTGTCTTTTCTTTTAAAAAGGAAAGGAAGCCATCTTCTGCTCTGCCTAGACAGGATGGGTGTGGTCAAGGAAATCACTAGACGTGGGTCAATAACGATCAAGACACAGCATGGATGGATAAGTGAGAAGTTACCATTCTCCATCTGAGGGAAATACACAAGATGGTAGCCTGGGTACCACGCTGCATCCTTTGTGTCTCATTCTCTGCAGGGGTACTGGAAGGCACAGAGGAAATAGGGACAGAGAGGTCTTCAACAGTATACACTAATGGTATCATCCTATTGTTAACCTAGAGAGACAGAAACCTTTCCCCTATCCCTCCAAAAATTTCCAGGGCAGAGTAAGGAAACACAAAATCCCACCACTCAAATG